ATATGCCAAGGATCAAACTCAGAACCTTGCACTTGCCAGGCAGGTGTACACCACTGAGCTAAATCCCCGGCCATAGTTTTGTTTTTGTTTTGACAGAACCAGGGATTGAACTCAGGACCTTGCATTTTCCAGGCAGGCGAGGTGCCACTGAACAACATCCTTCGTCCTTCAATAAATATTTTCTGAATGAATGAACACATATATGAATGAGTGAAAAATGAATGAACCAACCAGTGAATGAACAGGCCTACGGCATGATTCAGGTGTCCACTGTTTTGGTGACTGTGCTATATGTTAAGATGCACTTTCTTGTTCCAGCATCTTTACCTTCCCAAAACCCTTAAAATTCAGTTTCATATCTTTCCACATTTCCTGAATCCTCAAAAAGTCCACATGCCCTATGTTTGGTTTTGTTTTTCTTTTTTCACCAACATGGCAGTTTTGAGATCCAAAGTATGCACTAAACAGTCACAAGCTGGCTGCTATAATAAGTTCAAACTCTTTAATAAATAGAAAAGAGAAAATAGTTCACCAGAATCTTGAACATTCACATTCTCTGAAGAAGATTATTTAGATATCCTAAACCTGTAGCCAACCTTTTTTTTTTTGGTGGCGGGGGTGCCAGGGATCAAACTCAGGACCCTATGCTTGTGAGGAAGGCAGAGGAACCACTGAGCTAAATCCCTGGCCCTGCCAACCTTCTGATGACCGTAGGACTTGCTGGTAGCCATGAGTATTCTGTGTGGCTCCTAGATAAAATTTAGAAGCACATATCCTCAGGAATTGGACAGAATATTAAAATTATTTACTCTTATCTCCTTATTTCACTAACTACTGAGAGAACAGACTTAGGTCTTCTTTTGTCCAGTGTTGCAAACCATGAGCCAGGACCAGTAAACAGGTTTCCCGACTTCATTTCCCAAGTGTTAGTCACCAAATCAAGGGAGCTCTGTGAAGCCAAGGTACTGTCCTTCCAGTGACCTTCACCACCAACCTGGCTGAGCTGGGCAGTGCTCTGCCAGCTCACAGGAAAGGGTAAGAGACAGAGGGCAGCGGCTGGCTGCTACTTACTTGAAGGGCTTCTCTCCAGTGTGGGTTCGGATGTGGTTGTTGAGGGTGGTGGCCCCGGCAAAGGCACGGCCACAGTAGCCACACTTGAAAGGCCGGTCACTGGAGTGAGTGACCACGTGGTTTCTCAGTTCCGAAGGCTGGGAGAAGGACTGGGAGCAGTGGCCACACTGGTAGGGTCTGAAACGAATAAAGACACTGCCTAGTCATTATTTTCTACGCCGGCCAGAGAATCGTGAAGCAAGGGGCTAAAACTTCTTGTGGCTTTTTGGAACAGAGCATAGAGCTGGAACCGCTGGGGTCCCACTACTTGTGGCCACTAAAACAAAAATCATAAAACCACGGCGGCGCACTGCTTTGCAAATGAACACTCCCTTCCAGTATCAGCCACACCATTTCAAGAGCCCTACCTTGTCTTTATCTCCCCTTGGGCAAATATCAATGGATGTTTGTAAGCCTTCAAAGCCTAAACTTGATTAGGTAGAATGTTACAAGAGAAAATACATAATTGTCTCTTACGCTTTCACGGCATCCTTAACTTTACAAGTGCTTCAAAATCAATTATCTAGTTTAATTTTTACAGTCGTCCTCTGAGACTGAGAAAGCAGGTGCCGTGATCTCCGTCAGTTCAGAAAACTGAAGACAAACTGTCCTCACAGGACATTAGCTGCTGCTTCCAAGGTCAGCCCAGGGCACTGGATCTTAATTCTGAGTGTCAGGTGAACATGGGGTCATGGGAGCAAACTGCACACATATTTTAAGGAAAACTAAACCTTCCTGGGGTCTATACCACAATCACTGGGACTGCATCATGAACACAAGTGTGCACCCAGATGTCTCTCTGAGGAAGAAGTCCTTACTTTTACTTACCACCCCCTCCAAATATTCATCCATTGAGTCTTTTCCTTACACCTCTCAGCTCCCCAGTTTCATCTGGTAGCAAGGAGTGATTTACGGCAGCACGGAAATGACAGGAGTTGCCGTGCCGCAGAAGAACGACTGGGTTTGAAAAGCAAACGGAAGGGAGTCGTGACAAATACCTAATAATTAGCAGGGTTATCAGAGCACACCCTCCCAGCTCAGGAGAAATGAATCAACGTTTGGTTTTCATAAAACAGATTAAATTTCCGTCTTCTCAACAGAAGTTCCTCTGCTTACTGAGCAGAATCTGGTGAGCTATGCAAAACCTGTGCAGGTTTCCTTATTTGAAGCTATTTCATATTATTCCCTGTCAGGGCTCTACTTTGTCTACCAAATGTTTCTTCAGAAAATTAGTAATCTGTCGTAAAGGATATTAGCAGCACGCACGAAGGCCTGGTTTGTGGCCTACACGTCTGCCTACATTTAGAAAGCCAACGGCAAAAGCTAACTTAATTGCTCTACCTTTAACAAATGCGTAAGGTGCCAGTGACCAGAAACCAAAATGAAGGGCTAACAGACAATGGTGACCAGGCATGTACAACAATTCAATTAAGTGCAAAAAAAGCGTACCCTCTCATTTGTCAAGTGAAGTGCTTAATTGTGGCTACTTGCCTCACTGAACACAAATACTATTATTTTACCGGGCTTCAGCACACTGAGCACTGATTGTAGAATTTTTTAGCTTGATTAATAGCCCAGGATTGGTCAATAATTCAATACTATACAATTTTAATTACTTACATTTAGAAATCTATCTAACTGCTCTCAAACAAGTTTCAAAGAAATATATAAGCGTCTTCGGTAAGGAGTTTATCAATCCTGACAAATAGCACATGCATTTTACTACAATTATAAAATAATGGTTTGCAAGTCATTAAAATTATATGCACATGAAAATTTCCTCCTGCCAAATCTGTTCTGGTAGCAAATGTTAACCTTAAAATGATTCATCAAGAAATAATGCTCTCAGGGATAAACTTTTTAAATGCTATTAAGTATTATAAACAAAATAATATATCAATATATGCTATATCCACCGACAATTGATTTTTCTAATAGTGAAGGGACCATTAACATTTATTAGCCTCTGGTTATCTATTTTTAATAGCTATCTCTGTAAACAATAAGCCACTAAATAAAACCAATTAATCTTTTCTTTTTTTCTAACTCTGCTGTCAAAAGTTGGGGTGATTTATTCCCCACAGTCAGAAGTCAACCCATCCTTCTTGTGTTAACAGTCACCACACCAGAGATTTACACACCGAAGAACAGAAATGACCACAGAGAAGCTTGTGCAGATTTCTTCCATCAGGTAACACCAATGAAGGCACTAACGCTTCGGCTCTGCCCAGCACCAGCCAAAAAGGCATTCCTAGAGAACTACAGACCCATACTGCACAGGTTCTTAAAACTTGCAGCATTCAGCTTGGCTAACAGGAGAGACAGGAGAGGGGCATCTGCTTCAGCCTCTGAGCCCCATCAGCCAAGGGGCTTAGACAAGGAGATCAACTTCCTTGAGTTCCTCTGCTTTCTCACTGGTCTGGAAAGAGAGTCAGACTGAGCCATGCGCTCTCTCCTATCACTTCATACTGCGTTCCTGCCTTTGGAAAACTGACAAATGCACCTGGCTGGAGGATCTATCCAACACACAGATAGCCAGCATGGTCTCCATCTGGTGCTGTGTACACCATATACTAGCTAGCTCTCTGGACGTGGAGCTTTGTGTGTGTGTGTGTGTGTGTGTGTGTGTGTGTGTGTGTGTGTGTAGAAAGAAGGAGGGGAGAGAGGGAGGGAGAGGGAGGGAGGACACATATACATGTTCACTAGAACACAGAAAATTTTAATGTGTCTGTAAAAAGCTAAGAATTTCAAGCAACAAGAAAATCTAGTACCCAAACCTCATTTTAGTTAATTTCAAAAATCAAAGCCATATTCTTTCATTCATAGATACCCTGAAAAGTAAGATGTTAGATCATCTGAAAGCATGTGGTTTTGTGGAGCTGATTTAAGTAGAAATTAGAACCTGACTCCCTCACTTGCTGCTGTAACAGCATCTCTCATAGTCTACAAATTTATAGAAATTTGGCCTTGGAAAATACAGGAGCTACACAGCTAGTAGATGCGATTCCTTTCAATTTTCTCTTCCCGTGTTTTCAGTGTTTTCTGGAAAGGAAGTAGGAAGTAAATTTTGTAATGGACTGCATACCAAAGGTTTAATCTAAGGACACAAGAATACATTCTGGTCAGATCTACCTCTTAACCAAGTTTTAGAGACACTTTTGCAGACACTTTTGCACTCTGGAGCCTCAAAATCAGCATTTGTTTGCTGCTAACTGGACACGGAATCCAGAGGACATGTGTGTATTTCTACTGGAATACCCCATCTCTTCTCACTGCAAACCCTCACTGCCTCTGGGGAGCAGAACTAGTTGCCACTATTAAGCTTTTTATTCTGTTGACTAACATTCCATTAATTCTTTCAAAGTCGGGCCACAGGTAACTTACTAAACTTCTGAATACAATCTACCTTAGCTCCAACATTCTGTCTCCCTTTGATGTATCACAGCAAGAGCAGCACATAAGGACCGGCACCGGGACCGGCACCGGCACCGGCACCAGCACCGGCACCGGCGGGCCTGTTTAGCTTTTCGTTTTCAAGATCTTACATCTTGGCACCTGTAACCTCCTTTTAAAGCATGTTACTCTCCCACCTTATTGTTCATGAACAGCATTTCACTGTTCTCAAAGCAAAGTCAAGCAGCCTTGGTGCTATTTGAGACCCAGGAAAGGGTTGCCCAGGGACAGAGACTTTCTCAGTCTTAGTTCCCCAGCACAGAAGCCACCAGCACACAGAGCAGCTGGGCCCTGGAAACGTGGCTAGTGGACCTGAGAAACTGAAATATTATTTTCCTTAATTTTAACTAAATTTAAATAGCTTCATGTGGCTAGTTCCAATACAGAAACATGAAACTTGATGGAAAAACTAGAATGTTTTCCATTCTTGATTTTTAAAAATGAGTGAAAAACAGACAAAATGTGAGTGAACTTAGCATCCGTCAATGCTGCCAACATTGTAAGCAGAAAGAAAGAAGGAAGACAATTTTGTATATCCCTGGCATTCTTTGTCACTGGCAGCTCCTCAGCCAAAGATTACGCCAGTAAAATGTGCAATTCATTTGCTTTGAATCTATAATTGGTTTGGTGTACACACAGAAAAAGGATGAAACATTTAACAAAATTAAGTGTGCTTTGGTTTCACATTATTAATTTTTCTTTGATTTTTCTCTCACGGCATGGAAGCCTCCAGGACAAAAGTTGTTCATCCCAGGCTACGTTCTCTCTGCACTTCAAATCAACCAGCCCAAGTGCAAATCTCCTACGACTTCAAGGGGCCCCACTTAAGTCACTGCTGGCTGTGTAGAGAGAGTAAGGAACTTAGCTCTGTGTAGGAGAAGATTCAGGAAAGTGACTAAAGTGCAGAATCAAAAAGCCTGCGGAACATTGGAAATTAGAAAGAAGGAAACATTCACATTTGGGCAGGGGAGGGGAAGAAGAAACACTGGAATACACAAACACTGATCCAAGGGCCAGGGATTTAGCTCAGCGGTTCCACCGCCTGCCTCACAGGTGCAAGGACCCGAGTTCGATCTCTGGTGCCAAAAACAAAAAACATTTTTTGAAATGAAATGAAATTTCAAGAAATGATGATGGTAATGAATTATCTCCAGGTTCCTCCCACCGAAAGGCACCTTTTAATGTCATTTTGCCCCTGTAGCACCGCCGTGTGCCATTACCGCTGACCAGCAGGCCCAGGGAGTGGATGGCCCACCTCCCGCACAACCAGAAAGGCAAAAGCAAGAGGAAAGGGATTGAAATACAAATGTGGGCTGTAAATACACTTTCCACCCCAATTAAAGGAGCATATTCATCAGGGAATAATCCCCTGTGCCTGACGGTTTAGCTCTCTGCAGCAGGAAAAGAGAAGAGAGATTTCCAACTCTTGGCTCAAGCAGAAGTCAGTCGAGCTGCCTTGGCCTAGGCAATGAGCTTTATGTAAAAACTGAAATGTTTACAAAATCTCTAAATAAAATCTTGGTTGATCTAGATTCCAATAGCTTCTTTCCTTTGAGTTTACCCAGGGGAAAAAACGTCAGTAGCCTGAGAAAAAAGAAAGAAGAGATTTTTAAAATTTTTTGTTTGTTCTATATTAACAGAACAAGATGAAAAAATAACAATTCCATGGTTCCCTGGACCCTCATGGGTGTGTTTTCACCTTCAGTGCTATTTCCAGCTTTACCAAAAAGCAGATTTTGTTTTGCACTCAATGTGAATAACTCAGTGGTGGCAATGGAGGTGCTAGCATCACTGCCTGCCCACAGATCTCTTTTCCTTATATCACCACATAGGCTTTTCACATTAGAAAACAAACAAACAAACAAACTCCCGAATAGAAGTGCGCGCGCACACACACACACACACACACACGCACACCTCTTTGCTGAAAGGAGGCTGTGATGTCTGGGGATTCGTGGCCAAATATTCAGCCTGTTGAATGAAAAAAATTTCTGAATTTCAGATTCAGAGAACTGTTTCAAACTTGGACTTGTTTGAAATTCTAACCTCGTTAGCTTCTGATTTTGTCTTCTACACCTCCCTGGTTCTAGCAAGATTTTCCCATTCAAGTAAGAATATTTGGTCTTTCAGACAGGAGGAAATGGCTCCTGACTGCTGAACTCTCTCACTGTACTCTCAGCTCTCTGTGCATGCAGGTCCCGCATGCGACCACCCAACCAACTGCAGACCGGAAATATTCAGAAAAAATTCTGTTCTAAACATATGCAAACTCCTTTTCCTGTCATTATGCCTAAACAACAAATAACAGTAGTTATTTACATAGCGTTTACATCAGCGTAGGTATTACACCGATCGAGATGTGATCTAAAGACTATAGGAAGGCCGGGTAGGTTCCATGCAACTCCATCCCGTTACCTAAGGCTCCTGAGCATGCAGGGATGCTGGTGTCTGCAGGGGCCTGGGACCAGCTGCCCAGACACTGAGGGGCGGTGGTGTGTGGAAGAAAGGGGAAAAGCTGCCCGAGGCTGAAACCCACGAGAATGGTGGAGTGAATGCCCACAGAATGTCTGTGTGTTCACAGCTGGAAGTTTCCACACAAGAGCAGATAAGCGTCCTAATTTCGCAACTAGAGTAAGCAAATCTGGTGTTCCACTGCAGTTCTGCACATTTCTCCCATTGAGCAATCGCTTGTGTGATTAAGAACGGCGGAGAGTATCTTTTACTTCTTAACATTCCGGTGAAAAGGGAGCATCCTGGGTTCTGGAGCAGAAAAGAGCCACTATGTCCTGGATGTTAAAAGAAAACGAAGCACCTACAATGGAATCAGTAGATCAAAGTGCTAGGCATCTCCTCCTCTTCCCCCTCCGGATATGATGGCGTCATTCAGGCATCTCCACACAGTCAGTAAGAAATCACCGTACTTCATTACTCTGCCTACACAGGAACTGACACTGGCGTCACAACCCTTCATTTTTACTTATCTGTGAGTGACAGTGACTACCTGTCAGGTCTTCACAACACGGTGCAGGGAAGGGGAGAGCGAGAATGCATCCTCCGAGTGACTGGATTCCACTCTGGCTCCAACCCTGGTACCAAATGTGCATCACCCCACCCCACCTAGGAAGGCAACAGACTGTACCTGGGCCTCGAGTCAGATAAGCTGATGGGCATCTAGCGGTTTAAACATGTGAGCTGAAGTTTTAGATATTTTTCTGATAGTTTTGCTAATTTTTAAAAGAAAATTTTCTAACAATTTTCACAAATGTATTACAAATTAGGACATTATTATTTTAGAGGACAAACATCAGAGGGACTTAAACCATAATACAGACGGGAGTTTCTAAGTGTAACCAAAATACAAACATGATTTTCTAAGACAGCAGTCTGTTTCAGTATTCCTGTATTTACCATAAAATAGCTTCATTGTTTTTATGATATTTAGCATGAAAAATCCTACTCAAAGCTAAGCTTTGAGTTCCAATATCCAGAAACTTTCAACTATCATTCTGTTTTACTCTGGGTGTTCAGTTACTATGTCTATTGATACACCTTTTCAAAGAACAGATCCATTCATCTGAACTCACTCCATTAAAAAAGCAAGTTTATAAGAAGATTTTAATGTATCGTTTATATCTGTTTTTGTCATCCTTTATATCTTTTTAAACTGCTAAAATGCTTTGCAAATTTAGAACAGATACCTCTCGAGGCTACATGCATGCCTGCAGGGAAGGCAAGCAAACAAAAAGTACTTTCCGAATGAAGAAAACATTTTCACCTCTATGTATCACCAATATATGTGTTGCTTAAGTCCATACACAGGTGACACACCTCTTCACCCGAAGCCCTAAGACGTGCACAGGGCTTTTGGTAACTTTCTCCAGGACACAGCTGCCCTTACCAGCCCTAGTGTGAGTGTTTCAACAGTGTTAGTTGCAGCAGTGCTCGATGACAGGCAAGCAGTTTCCAGAATGGCACAAGTGAAAGTATACGTGTAAATATATATATGCGCCCCAAAATTGTTTCAGAACGTCTAGTCCCTTCTACCACACCTCCATCCTCTTCCCCTTGTTTGAATTTCCTAGGAACACTTTTGTATCCTGTAGAGAGGAAAGGGAAGACCTGAGCACCTATTAATTGGCAGAGAGAGTTAAGGGGCTCGCTTAGTTAAGGTTGACAGCGGCAAAATTAAGCAAATAATTCAAGAACCCTACTTCTGACTTTCCAGGGCTAGTTCCAAAAAGTATTTTCTGTTTTTATATTCAAAATGCATTTTCAATGCTATTCTTAGGTATTTTGGTTTTAATCTAGTTTTCATGGGATGTGGAGAGATAAAACATGAGCAACCCTTTCTTATTGAATTAATTTGATTTTTGTCTTTTGCACTCCCAGCTATCAAGACTGTCGAATAAACCAGTTTTGATTCATAAATAATAGTTCTATTATATCTACTGTGCCACTCGTCAGAGTACCTGAAATTTTAATTCACTTGTTCAGCTAAATTTCATCCTCAGTTCATGGCCATAAAATTCTTTATTGACAAACTCTCAAACCAACTTTGACTCTGAGGTATCTAGTCAACATTTTTCTTCTGTGTGGATATTAGTTTATTGAATAAGTGGCATCTGTTTTCCTCCACATCACTAGCAGAGTAGGTATTTCCTTTTGACAGCTTTGCAGGATTTATGGGTTTGCACGCTCTGAAGAAAAATAGTACTAAGCAAAAAATTCCAATTCATTACCTCTTAATACTTAATTAAGTTCATACCCACGGCACACTGGAGGTGAACTCTGAAATGACTGTGACAGCCACAGAGCGGCCAGCTATATTATCCTTGGAAGACAGAGAGGATTCTAATTATCCCGACCTCATTTCTGCACCTATGATATTCATAAATGTTTCCTCTCTCTTCCTGCCGGTTACACGTGGGCAGAAGTGCCTGCAGAGCAAGTGCGGGTCCCGCTCTACAGCCACAACCTGCCTGTGCGGCCCTGGCAAAGCAGAGGTGAGCGGGGCCCTCTGAGCCCGGGCTCTTCGCAGGGCGCAGTGGAGGCAGCGCTCACACCAGGCACGCGCAGCGTTACCTGTCGGGGTTCTGCGTGCACACGTGCATCTGCAGCAGGATCCTCTGGGTGAAAGTCTTAAAGCACTGCCCGCATTTCCAGAGGTGCCAGTCACTGAACTCCGAGTGCAGCTGGCTTGTGGAAGTCGGGCTTGCGAGGACTCGCTGGTTTTTCACGTTGATTTGGTTAAACCCTGATTCGATGGGCCCAGATTTATCCAAGAGAGAGAAGTTTCTGTTGCATGGCGTCTGAGGGAAAACGACGGAGCGCTGCGGGGTGGCCGAGGTGAGCTTGCTGCTCTTGCTGAAGGACTGCAGGGCGTCCTGCCGGCACATGGCTTCCATGACCGTGGAAGGGACATTTACTAGGAGAACAGCGAGAGTTTCAGAAGATCAGACTTACTGGCCCTTAGGAGGAACACAACAACACATTCTTCTTAAAAGTCTTACAAATCAACACTATTTTTTGTGTTTTTCTCCACTCAAAATGCAACACACAGAAGGGAAATTCACTATTCTCACAAAAACTCAACCAATGACTGTTTATTAAGCAACTAGTATATGCTCCAGACTGCTCTGCCATGATCCTTGCCTTCATAGTTCATTTATGACTGGAAATTCAGAAGACTCCACAGTAGGGCTCTACTCTACATCATGCCCCATGCAAGGAGCTCAGGTGGGCACCAAGCAGGGCACAGGAGGAGGCAGGGACACTTGGAAAGGGTACCTGGAGCAGTGAGTGCCCTGAAGGCAGGTTCAGAGTGACTGGGTGGAGAACGTCCGGCCCTCCACCAGCACAGGCGAAGCATTCAAGAAAAGTCGGTTGGAGAGATGAAATGAGAATTCTTAGGAGAAATGAGAATACAGGAGTAGCCTAGCATGCTGGGGGTCAGTAATCAAGGCAGGCTGGCTTGGAGGCACAGGTTTCTTGCCCTGCAGGAATAAGGGTTAGTGGTGGAGGCTAGGGACAGACTTCAGAGGGCCTTAAAAGTTCAGTACAGACTTCAGACTTCAGACTTCAGGCCTAAGAAATAGATACAGACTGTCTCTGAGCAGAGGGTGCAAGCAAAAAGACACCTTGTTCAGGGCGAAGAGGGAGAGGCAACAGAAAAACAAAGATGGTGCCTGTAGCTTGAGCTCCAGCCACAGTGGTACAAACTTAAAATTCCAGCACTCAGGAAGCTACAGCAGAAGGATCACAAGTGAAAGCCCAACCTGGGCAACTCAGGGGCTTAGTAAGATCCTGTCTCAGAATAACAAAATTTAAAAAGGGATGGTGCTGTAGCTCAGCACAAAGCCCTATGTTTAACCCCTGCATGGCACACACTACTTACTGGCCTTGTGACTATGGGTGAGAATGGAGTACCAAAATCATGACTTAGTGCTTGGTAAAATGTAAAACGGTCACACCAAGGATTGAGTGCAAATGCACAGGTAGTTTTTATAGAAAGCTTGACCTGCAGCTGACAGTCAACAGGTGAGGAGCTCTAGGTGCCCTGGTTTCCTTGTCTTCCAGCCTCCTTTACGGAGTTCCGCGTGTGATATTGAAGGGGCATCCCAAGGCCTGAAAGCAACAGTCGCTACCGTTCTTATTATGTGTGGAGAATAGACAAGCAGGCGGGAGTGGGGTTGTGATAGGGGATAAAGAACTACAAACAGCAAAGAGTTTTGAGGAAGAAAATCAAATACACTTGAAATTTATTGTTCTTCTTTGAAAGTTTTTATTGTATTAATATCTATCAAGTATTCACAGGCAAGTCCACAGGTCCAAAGGTGATTAGAACTTACCTGGTAGGATTAAAATGTTTATTTTAAAAGACAATAACTGTATTGTATAAAAAGTGTACTTAGTGGTCATTCCCAGGGTTAAAGAAATTAAAGGTCATAGAGTGATCGAGAAAATGAAATCAGAGGCCAAAAATTTTGAAAAGGATGACTGTTGCAAAGACTGGTGGCTGGGGATGTAGCTCAGAGGTAAAGCACCTGCCTAGCATGGGTCCAACCCCCAGGACCAAAAGGAGCAAAAATAAGATTTAAGATACCACATGTACATGTAAGTAATCCCCACAATGAATGCAGTAGTTATGTACTATGAACTAATAAAAAATAAAATAGAATTTAAAAGTAAAAAGATTAGTGGTAGCAAGACACAAGACCACGCAGGCTATGGCTGCTGGCCTTGGTTCAAAACCATGGGACTCTGGGTGTTCTCATCTTGCCTGGTCACAGATGGCAGTGGAGATGGCTGCCTGGCACGAAGACCTGTGCATTCTCAACCATAACAAGGGAATGGCAAGGACTGCGACTTCCAGGAGGCTCTGTGTCCAGGGGACACGTGGATACCGCGTATGGGGCACAAAACAGGGTCTGTGTGTTGTCTAGACTCCGCAGAATCCCGTGGTCAACCAATCCAACAACAGGAAGAGCCCCGTCTACAGGGCTCCAAGCCCAGCTCAGCTGTCCTATTTTAGGGTGGCAAAATAAAGCAAGACACTTGCCCACCTACCAAAAGCCCAGAATATATCAAGTCCGCAGCTCTTCACCCTGGCTACTGTACATTTTAAAACATTAAAACAGAATCTCTCAGCAAGGCCTGAGTGCCTTCATTTTTTCAAATTCTCCAAGTGCTTGCAATGTGAAATAAAGGAGGGCTGAGAATCGCTGTTCTAACCGTACCCTCTCTCATTGCAAATGACAAAAGCTGAATCCTTAGAAAAGTCCAAGATATGGACACGTCCAGGCTACAGACTTTAGCTTTCTGACTTTCAGCAATTTCGTTGCTAATTAAGCACCTATCCATCTTTGCTCACTAGTTATGTCATTTCCAATATATAAAAGTAGTACAGTGTTCTGTGTACAAGTATATTAGATATAGCAAATCACACATTATCTCTCTATATTATTCTATACCTATATATTCATTCATTTGTATTTTGTGTACAAGTCTATATTTTGTATATAAATATTTATGTATCATTTGAACTTCTGAGGCAGATGTATGCGATCGATATGGAATCTGTTTTATGGCACACAGATAGTTACTTTTTAAAGAGGCACTGAAAGAAAAAGAGGAATGTTTTGTCATGCATGGGTCCTTTCTCAATGAGAAATCCAGCAGCACTGTGAGATCAGGGTGCAGCCCATTAGCTGTTCCAGTAGTAACTGGGAAACTCACAAGCAGTGTTAAATCCTGTGACCAGGAAATCTCTAGCTAACAGGAAACACAGCACAATGGGAAGATTGCAGCATGAAGATGGAGGCGGGAAAAACCAACCAGAAGTGTTACGATGACTTAAGAAAAATACTCAAATAATATTGTAAATGCAGATGCTACATTCTCACTTCTGCTTTTGTAAAGTAACCTAATTGGTGTATAGTTTAGAAATAGTTAAGGTCATACAATCTTTATAGGAAAACAAGATAATTTGTGGGAAAATTTTTAAAAGTTCAATGACATCAACTGTGAAGAAATAAAGTATAATTTCTATATCTAAAAGTCTGTTTAATAACCCAGCATATACAGAATCTGAGTTAGCGTAATGACAATAAGAGCATTTAAATAATAAGAATGGGAATTGCTGGGATAAAATTATTTCCATTTTATTAGTTACTTTTCCTGGATACCCGAAAACAAATATAAAAGGTTGCTATAGGTAGCAACTTTATGCTGATTCTGTTTTGGACCCGCTCCTTTTTTGAACTTATGAATAAATAAATTCAGTCATGAGTGGATAATTTTCACAAAAATAAACATATTTGACCTCTAAAGTGTTCTTTAGAGTTTTTGCACATTTCCTTAGCACTCTAGAGATCCAAAGTTTTTCTTTTAGTTGGAACTTTTCAGAAGATAGGGGAGACTATGCTTCCTAAATATTAGCCTCACTGACTATGGCGATCAAAAGCATCAACCAAACACAAGAAATTATCATTAAGAGGCAGAGAATGAGTCAGAAAACAGTCTCACCACATCTCAGCAAAGACACACGGGCAAGGCCCAGAGTGGCCAACGCGACTGGAAAGATGAGGCGGTTTCTTCATGAAGCGACCCCAAAGCAGTAAATTACCTGTCTACTGAGACAAAGACAGAGCGAAGAGGATGCACTCTAATTCTTGAAGGACACAGACAAGGAAAAACACGAACTCATCACATCTGGACAGAAAACACTGAGAGGAGCAGACGCAGGATCTGTAAGGTAAGGTGTCACTTTACCGCCCACCTTTGTCCATTCATTCAGTCCACAAATACTGCTTGGGCAACTGTCACATGCCTGGCATGGTGCTAGACACGGAGTTGGGGGGTCTCACAGTCCCCACCCTCACAACACTTAAACTCGAGTGGGAGAGACAGACATTAAGCAGATAAATATTTATCAACTTCATCAGACCTAAAATCTCATTCATGGACCATTACACATGCAAGTCACCATCTACCGGCAAGATACCTACCAGTTCCAGCAAGATGATGCAAAGCTGGTGAACTGTAGGACTGACAGAATACAATTACTGCAAGAGTGATACAGGAGGGCTGGGGATTTGGCTCAGTGGTTCTGCCACCTACCTCGCCACTGTAAAGGCCTGAGTTCGATCCCTGGTACAAAAAAAAAAAAAAAAAAAAAAAAAAAAAAAGCAAGAGTGATACAGGAAGAGAACAAAGGCTTCCAGGAAGTCAGGTGTCAAAGAAAGCTAAGCTTAGGATGAGGATCTGAGTCCTGATGGGCACCCGGGGATCAGAGGCACGAAGGAGAAAAAGGCAACAAGAGGGTGGGTTCCTGGCACTCTCGTCATCAAGGCTGCAGAAGCAACTCCAAGAATATTCAACTACTTCATCTTTGACAAAGGGGCCAAGAACCTACTCTGCAGGCAAGAGTCTTTCACAAATGATGCTGGGAGAAGTGGCCATCCACAGGCAGAAGACTAAATCTAGACCCCTATCTCTCACCATGTACTAAACCAAAATTAAAATAGGTCAAAAATCTAAGTATTCAACCAGAAACTTTGAATCTACTGGAAGATGAAAAAGGTAAAGCTCTTGAAGTCACAGACACAGATAAGGACTTTCTGCATGGAACGCTTGTTGCACAGGAAATAGTACCAAGAATCAAAAAGTGTGATCATATCAATTAAAAAGCTTCTGCACGGCAAAGGAAACCACTCACAGGTGAAACAATCTACGGAAGGGGAAGGTTTTTTTTTTTTTTTTTGCCAATCAGAGGCCTAAGATCTAGAAGATCTAACGAAAATCAAGGTAAAGAGATGAAAACGACGAAGACGTGTTATGCACAATGTACCAACCCCTCTGGGGAGTGCGGCCATTGTGTACTGCGCACGCGGACTAATAAAAATAAGTTTTCACAATAAGAAGACA